TAACGAAATGTGCCACTTTATTCTCATTTCGTCAACTGGATAGCGCTATTACTTAATAAAGTTCAATAAAGTTCTTACACAACATTATCACTATCTTCAATTAATTCTGTCTAATTTTTTAAAATATAATAGCTTTTAGTTTTTCTTATTTAAACCTATTCAGTTATCTTATATATCTTCTACTCCTGACCCTTCTGTTCCATATATGGACATATTTGTATGAACCTGAGTGTGCGTTGTGTGTATGTATGTGTGTACGTATAATGTATTTACTTATTTATATGTATTTATCTACATACATGTATATGTGTGATTGTGTATATGTATGTATTGTGTATATGTGTATGTTTGTATATGTATATATGTATGCATGTATGTATGTATGTATGTATGTATGTATGTATGTATGTATGTATGTATGTATGTATGTATGTATGTGTGTATGTATGTATGTATGTATGTATGTATGTATGTATGTATGTATGTATGTATGTATGTATGTGTATATGTATATATATATGTGTGTGTGTGTATATATATATATATATATATATATATATATATATATATATATATATATATATATATATATATACACACACACATATATATATATATATACATATACACATACATACATACATACATATATATATATATATATATATATATATATATAATTTATATATATATATAAATGTATATATATATATATATATATATATATATATATATATATATATATATATATATATATATATATATATATATATATATATATATATATATATATATATATATATATATATGTATATATATATATATATATATATATATATATAATGTATATGTGTGTATCTTTGTGTGTGTTTGAGAGTGACTTAATCTATAAATGTAGGTTAGCTTATATGGTATTATTTATAGCACTCCCCAAACGACCACCTCTATGCCCTTATTATTATTGTTATTGTTTAAGTATTATTATTATCTCTTTAATTGACATTATTATTTTTAATTATTGTTACTGTTATAAATTACTACTATTATTATTACGATGATTATTATTAGAACATCAATCGTGAATATAACTCAAACTGCCGTACAGTTATTTTTTCAGTAATGGAGCGCATATTTATATGGGGATTAGTCAGTACAACAAAAGTATATTTAGTAGAAGTTAATTTTTTTTCATAGAAAAAAATTGACTTCTACTAAATATTATTTAACTTTTTTTTCAAATATGTGTTTGCTATATAAATCCTATTCGAAATTATAAACTTTTTCAAAATCCACTGAGTACTTTTTGTTAAATCTCATTTTTCATACCTTCTTATTATTTTCACAAACCATCGCAAATCAAATAAAAAACAAAAAAACAAAAAAAAAATGCTTTTCTTCATCAGTTTAAATATAATAAATTAAAAAAAAAAACGCGTGACGCAATATTATTTATAATAAGTGCATTTTATTATTGTACTTATTTAAGTAATATTTGCTTGTTAAAAAAAAAATGTTATATACACGATTTTTTTTGTATAAGCAACTCGTTTATAAGCAACTGAACTCGATGTGAAAAAAATATTAAGCAACTTTAGTTTTGAACAAATGTTAACATAAGCAACTCATAATTGCAATTTTTTTCTCTGCAATGTAATGACTTCTTTTAGATAAACGATTTCAAAAGAAAGTAATCACAAGTAGTGTTGTTGTTGTGTATGTTGTTGACAACGCTGTTAAGATCATGAGTAAGAGAAAGCAGACAAATTTGTTCAACTTTGGTTTTACCAAAAAGATTTTTCATCGTGGTGAGTTGGTAAATGTAGTGCCGAAGGAAAAAGAAGATAATTTGTTTGAATGTATTGTTTGCAAAAAATCACTGAAAACATCACAAGCCCTTTCGATGCACGAGTTTTGGTGTAAAAATAAGTTATCACATACGGATATTGCTCAAACTGACAAAATCAATGAGCTTGGATCAAATCATTGATGGAAAGAACAAGTACAATAATATTGAAAAAACTGTGAAATCGGTTTTAGAGAAGCTTGTTACTGATGTTTAGCTTACCGTAAAACATCCAAAAACGACAAATTTCTTCGTATGCTTTATAGGAGCTTTGCGAAAACAGGATGTCTTATCACGCCTGATGGTAGCAAAGACGATAAGATAAATCCTGAAGGCATTCCTGCTTATGTTGTTCCACCCCCTGTTGACATTGATAACCTGGTGGAAATCACAGAGACTTGATGTTTTGCCTGACGAATCAGACGGAGAAGACGAGGAACTAAATGGACAAGTAGAAAAATCAGACAGACAAGAAGACGAAGAAAGTGGAAATGAAGAAAATAAAGATCCAGCAGAAGAGAGAAACATTTGTGATCTTTTTTTTAATTAGAATTTAAGTGATTTTAGTTGTAAAGAGCACTCTTCTGTTAAAGACTTGATATTAAACCGTATTATGTCTCTTATTCGTAAAAACACTGAAATTTAGGCTAAGAAATTTAAGCAACCATTAAGCAACTCGAGATATAGAAATTGGCTGAAAAATAAGCAACTCGAGTTCTGACCAAAGTTCTAAGTTGCTTATACAAAAAAAATCGTGTATATATATATATATATATATATATATATATATATATATATATATATATATATATATATATATATATATATATATATATATATATATATATATATCAAAAATATAAAAAACCGTTTAAAAATTACAAACTACGGAAGAATGAGTTCTGATGTTATAGTACAAGAAGACATAATGGAAAACCAATCTCTGCTATCAAATGATGAAAGGAGAAATTTATTTTTGTGTCTACATTTAGTTACTAATTCACCCCTTTTGTTTAGCAGATTGTCTCCTTTGTAGAATAATATGTCGAATTTACCAATTTTTGACGCAGGGTTGTATGATTTACAGCGTTTAATAATATTACGTTTGATTGAAGATTTAAAATTGTTTTCTTTTAATTCCTCTACTTCCTTAGATAACTCAGTGTCGTTCTTGTACTTTTTTATGGATTTAGGGTTTTAGATGGTTTGCATAACGTAGCTTAAAAGAGGTTTCGCTTATCAATGTATACTTTATCTTTGTATTGAGGTTTATTTGAGCTTACGGTGGCTTGGTAAACGATTAAAAAACGTTGACCAATTTTGGTTATAACATTTTTACTAAATGGAGCATTGTACCAGATTATATTTCGTTTGTGGTTATTTTTTGGACCATTTTTTATGCTCGGTTTATATGCCAACTTATAAGGGTATCCTAATTGCTTTAATGCGTCTTCATAAATGTGTCGATTTATTGAAAATAACTTTATTTGATGAGTTAGCGGACAATCTTAGCTCGATATTTTTTGGAAGATTATTAATTATGTTAGGTGGATGGTAACGTAGCTTAAAAGAGGTTAAAAATGAAAGATTTTCTTCCATAACGTATAGTGGATTTGCTTTGCTCGTCTATTATTATATGTTGTTCGGCGAAAGTAATTACATTATTGAGTATGCTTTCATCAATTGACGGATAAAAATCATTTAAAATGTCAAATACTAAAAATTTTCAAAGTTGTTTCTCATCAACTTTTCGGAACCAATTTATTACATTCTGCCTATTTTGCCATTGGTTTAAACAGAGCCTGATTCTTAATTCCAAGTTGATTTTGGATAAAATAAATTTTGACAGTCTTCCTACCTCGTTCTTGGCAGGATTTAAAAGACGCACAGTAGGGTTGTTTAGGAAGTTTGCTTTTGATCTTTTAAAGTTATAAAACAATCAGCAGTTCCGTTTATCTCGATTCTATTGAAAATATCATGATTTGTCAAAATTTGCCTACTTTCTTTATTTACTACGTCCTTTAGTTTTGGATCGGCCTTTTTATAAATGGAAGTGATTGCGTTTATTAGAAGGTGGTTATAATCATCTTTAGATATTTTGCACACGTTGGAAGTTTAGTCAGCTGGAGTTAAGGTTTTATTAGATATACGTAAAGATTTAATGTCATTTTTTATTTTTTTTTAAAATGTGTTGCTGACATGCGAAATTTGATAGTTTTAATGAGATTTATCAAATCTTTTTCAAATAGTGACGTTTCTTTAATTTGTTGAAGGCACTTTGAAGATTTTACTCCATAGTTAGTGAAATCATTGAACTTAGACGTATCACCGAGTTGTTTGTTAATAAAAAATAACGCTTACCATCTCATTCTTTTTATAATAGCTTCAGTTTTCTCGAGTAAATGCAGTATAAACTCTTTTTCAGATGCTATGTGTATATTTTTGATTGAGTACTATTCTGCCGCCCTAAGTAAAAACGCAGTAAACAACAAAAATGACATTCTGAGAAAAAGCCACTTCTAAATTTTGTGTGTATATATTTTTTTAACTTACGGCAAAATGAACTATGGGTTTGATGACTTCGGAATGTACCACAATATTTTTATATAGAGCGTTATTACACAGAAAACGATGTTAAAACGTTTGGTGCAATAATCTCGATTTTTCAATTTTTGCGATTACTGCGTTTTTTCTTAGGACGGCAGTATTGCTATATATAAGTTTTATTATAATACTTTTACACTGAGACAAGCGCGCTAACCACTGCGCTACGGCTGCTCAAATATATAAATATACAAATATATATATTTCTAACTTTTAAAAATTAAACTTTGAAAGAAAATTAAAATTAAAAACAAATCAACTGTAAGCAAAGCAACTATTATTAAGTAAATTTTACCAAATAAGCAATCATTAAAATTAAGCAAACTTAAGCAAATAAGCTTGCATTAAAATTGACCGTTAACATTATATTAAAAAAAAACTCCTAATTTACCTATTAGTAAATAAGAAAAGAGTACAAATTCAAATTTTAAGTTGATGCCGATGTATCGGTATTGGCCAATACCAATTGGCATCAACATCAGCCAAAAGTAGGTATCAGTGGACTCCTATTTATCTTACTAAGCGGGGTTTATTTTTACTGCGACTTACCGTAGCTAAGTTTTTCGCAAATTTTCTGCATACTAAAATCGGAGAGCTGTGTGTATTATTTTTAGACTGCAATTAAATAGTTTTTGCAGAAGTTTTTACAGAAGAAAATATTATAAATGTTTCAAAAATAAGTATCAAAGAAACGATGACACAAGTGTAATGCTTCTAAGTTTTAATATAAATAACATGTTTACATAATAATAATGTTGATATGGGATTACCAGCGAAATTGACCATTGAAGAACAATTTCTTTTAGAAAAATTTGCTCTAAAAAAGAAGGTAAATTATTTTGATCACATTTTGGTAAGTATTTTGATCACATATTAACATATAGTATGTTTTCATATATATATTTGTCAAAGTTATTTTTTTAATTTAACATTAAAAGAAAACTGTTTTTTTTTTAGATTTATTCTATTAAAGTAATTTTTTTTTTATCAGAATTTTATTATAATTTTTATTAGAATTTTTAAGTATTTAACATAATTATTCATAAAAAACGAAAGTGTTTTGTACTTTTAAATTTGTATTGCTAGCTGTTGTGTTGAATACAAGGCCTTTAATCTGTGAATGC